ATATTGCCGAGGTTGGGGCAGTGAGCTCGATGTCTCTGCGACAGCCGGTAGACCTGGGTGAGAGTCCAGGGGTCCGAGGCCAGGGGGTGCTCCAGCCCCCATTGTGGACCCCACAGGGTCAGGAGGCCTAAGCCTGGCCTGGCAGCCACCAGTAATGAGACAAAGCCCACCAAAGTACCCAACCTCACACCAAGAGAGCCATCAGCGTGCCAGCAGACACAGGCACCTCTCATCAGTGTGGAGCATAAAAAAAGCAAGGAGTCAGGCCCTGCTCTTGGGTCCTAGGATGTTCCAGTAGGACCATTCATTCATTTTGCAAATATTTTTCAAAATAGCTTTGGAAAACCAGATTTTATCTGAATATGTAAGTTTTGCTCACTAACTGGGAGTGTGATAGTTACTTAAAAAAAGAATATTAACGGATGGAAAGTTATGCAATGTTATCGCTCCATGGATAGAAGATCTGACATGATTACCTTCAGTTGAGTCCACTGACATCCACACCTACCTGATGGAGAAACCTAGCCATGTATAGTACAGAGAAACTGAGTTTTACTACGAACAAACTTAATTAACCATTAGCTAAAAGAAAATATCTGCATTATGAGTGAAATAACTGTTACTCAGTTTCAATAAGTGGCACATAGCATTATGAGAAACCTCTATATAACGCTTCTTAAGCAGACCATAATCCATACTAATGAAAGCCAGTGTTTTATTTATCCAAACTTACCTGATATGAAGTTGCGCTGTATATATGGGGCATCATTTTTGCTAATATTTTCTGTCCGCTCCACTCTTTTTATTACGTTTAAACACAGCTGATGGCGGTTTTTGTTTCTGGCATTGGCAGCAGGTGTACGATAAAATGTAAAATTGCCTTTACTCCATCGATTATGGTAACCAACAGCACACAATGACATTTTTTACCCAACCTTGTGCTGGTTTGTAGTGGCCGCTTCCAGTTCTGACGCAACTGTAACGTCGGCAGAAAGAGTCTGTTGTTGTAGTTTTCTCTTATGAGCTTATCTTTACATTTAGCCTTAGATACAATTCAGCTCTATTACCTAACAAAAAAAATACTAAATTTTTTTCATTTGTGTTTTACGATGTTGCTTTTACTGTTAGTTTTCTGCGTTAATGATTTTAGAAGATACGACACTCGTTTTTAACCACTTCATATTCCATTGGGTTTATTTACCGTACAAAAAGGGAACATATGCACATGTATTAACGTACTTTTAGTAGTTATCAAAGTGCCAACAACAGATCCTTTTCCATTCCCTCCTGGATACCTTAAACCAGCCGTGAGGAAACGAGGACTGGGTTGATCTTCTCCGACCCGGTCTGAGGTGGTTTCAGCCAGATTCAACCTGTGATCCAACAACTCACAGAAAGCAGTCATGGTTAACAAAGCGTACTGCTGCTTAACTGTCAATGCAGCAGAGTCATATGAGGCGAAAACACCTGGGCTGCCAGACCTCCACTTCCTCTTATGTCTTACATTTAGTTAGGATCTGGAGCCAGACACTGCATTTAATCGTAAGTACTGATGGAAGCGGTAAACTGTAGAAGATGAACCTGTTCAAAATTTAAGACACCCAGAGAGGGATGATGGTAACATTTCTTTTTATTTGTAATCATGAAACAAAAAATTTAATTTTTACTGCTAGAGTTAAAAAAAATTAGAAGCCTCAATCTCCATCTGTTGTTTTTCTGCATGTTATTATTGAACCGAAGATTTTTATATAATATGCTCTCCAGACTATGTTGTGGTTGGAAAAAAAAAGGGCAGAAAGCTTAGCAGGAAGATCAACTGTTCTTTCATCCTGAGCTATGTTAAGAAGCTAAGCATGCTTTTATCTTGTGGTATGCTCTGCTGCCAGTGAAGCCATCCTCTGGAGTCTCATCGGTCTGCCCTCCTTCTTCACTCAGACCCCAGGATTATCGACGTTTACACAAGCAAGCTCAGAAAGGCACAGAAAGGTTACAACTGATATTAGACTTTGCATTTTAAGAGCAATATTTCCGTTTGCATTTTGGTATGTAAAACCTTGGGACTCTCTGCTTTTGTCTTGAGTGCCGTTTGAGAGCTGAACCATTAGATGGCTGAAATCCTACTAGGATTTCTGGGTGGAATTGAATGGAATTTGATATGCATTTCTATTGGGGCTGCAGCTAACGATTGTTTTGCAAATCGATTAATCTGTCTTATTTTGTCGATTAATAAATTCATAATTGGATAGCCAAAAGTTCCTTAAAGAAGGATTTTTACGAAATTTAAATTTTCCACTTGAGAAGTTCTGGATAGAGCATATTGACAGATGAAAACTATTTTTTTTTTTTCTTTAATGCATAATGTTTTTTTTATTTATTTTTTACAATTTTGATATAATTACTGCTCCAAGCGGGTCACTCTGTCAGCTAAATGCATGTTTTAGAGTCTCTATACTCCAGTTAAAGATTAATCGATTACAAAATTAGTTAACAATTATTTCAATAATCGATTAATCCGATTAATTGTTTGAGCCCTAATTTCTATGCTATTCTAGATAAATCTAGCACTGAAATACAAAGATGTAATAACAATAATAAAAAGCTACTGACTGTAGCTGCAACCCTGGGAGATGAATAGTCTGATTTCTTATTAAGCTTTGGTTTAGTTTTGTAACAATTATATTTAGTCTTTTATATAATGGAGAATACATCTCACTAGAGGAGTTTATTCTACTAGAATAAAGTTTGATCTTAAGTTTTATTAGAGGTCTTAAGTTTTGTGTCATCCTTTATTTCTTACAAATATACAAATAAGTTTTTCAGACCCTAATTCTTAGAATACAATCCTGACTTTTATTTTTGCTTTTCCGTTATGTATGTCTTTTGTACAGGGATTTAAACTAAAGCATGTTCAATGTTTAATAATCATAAATGATAATAAACATCATGTTAAGTAATGTGATTTTCTTTATAGAATTTTAGTTGGATTTAGATAAACTGCTACAATTTCCCCCTGGTGTAAAAGTAAATTATTTTTTATGTTTTGTTTTTCATTATTTTAAACATTATTTACTAATAAGGAGGCTTTAACAGAGACACCTTCAGAATGTTTGTTCACTGCCGAATTAGTTTTAAAATTAAATTCATTATAAGTTTCAAATATTTTATCCAGATCAGAACCTCAAAGGACTTATAAAAATAAGATGGAGGAATACTGTAGAGGTGTGTTCATTTTGAGATAATATTGAATACTGAAAGTGATTGCTCCAAAATTAACACCTATGAAAAAATGTAACTATACTTGATTTTCTACAAAATTGACCTAATTTTTTTTCCACTTGTGGACAAAAAAAAGCTATTTTTAATTTTAATTTTTCCCAAAATGTCAAATGACATGGAAACAAGAGAAAAGAAATGCCACTGTAAATCCAGGCGCAGGGGACGAACATGCAAGTACCACAATGAAAAGCCACATTTGGGTTTCAAACCTACAACCTTCTTCAGCCATAAAATACCAGAGGTTACTGCGAATAATCTGATATCTAGGTTTAACCACATCAAATCACTTTTGAAGCCTTTAGTTTATCATGAAGTGTACAAGTCAAAGCCGTCCATTGGTCATTAAGTTAGAAAATATGCGCAAGCAAAAACAAAATCACGGACTATAACAGAAAGTTCATGCATTGTCTGTGTTTTCTAGTTTTTTTTTTTTTTTTGCCCCGACAAACAAAGAGAAAAGACAGAAAGTTTTCCGCTTTCTAAACATTTTTAATCCTGGTTTGCAATGTCTGGTTTTATTATTATGTTATTATTACTTTTGTCAAACCCAAGTTATTTTTGTCACGATTGTGGGTTTTTCTTTCATTAAACAACAGCTACCAATAATTTTTTTTTACGCTGTCACATAGCATGCTTAGCCTCCTGTTCATTTTCCATGCTTTATTCACCACCGACTTTGTAAAGTAGAAACCATTAATGTCCATTCTGCTGCATCTCAGTTAAACTCTATGATTCGGGACATACAGAAGTGGCCTTTTCTTGTGTGATTTATTTTGCAGCAGCGAAATTCTCATTTGATCTTTCACAGTTTATCTTGGATCTGGTTACAGGAAACTGTTATATGCACACTTTTTTTTTTCAATGAATAGAAGAGCTTGTGAGAGGCTTTGGGTTTGTAAACAGTAAATCTCCTGAAGGCAGAATGACATTACACACAACACAAGCAGTGATAAAATCCTTTTTCTTTTTAAACTATTTTTAGATTCACCCGTTTTCTTTTTAAAGATCCATTTTTAACTGTATCTGCAGCACTAATTATAAATACAATATTTTTATTGAGGCATAACTGAGGCACTTTATGCTGTTGGAATTTGTTTGCCGTCTGCCATCTGCAGTATAAAAGTCAAGGCCAATAAAAATAAAAATATTGAAAACTAGGAACAATTTATCAGTAAACTGCTGAAAAACATGAGGCAAAGCTTTCTTTAAATATGACTTTATTGGGTTTTAGAAGTGTGGATAAATTTTACATTTAAGATGGACTGGAATGGTTTAATCAGGGATTTTGCAAACAGCTGTGTTAAAAGGGGATTCTTCTTAAACATTTGCAGCTTTTTGCTGTTTGTCCTCTAATTCCCCTCCTCTCTGTTTTCAGGTAAGAAGAAGCCGGTCCTGAAGCTCTCCAAAGAGGTGTTTGAGCAGCCTGCACCTGCAGCAGTGTAAGACTGTTTTGCTCCAATCCTGCACTGTATTGATCCTTACTTCCTGCTCAGCACATCTTATCTCAACCCTGTCGTACTGCTGAACATCGGAAAAACAAATCCACAGACCAACCGGAAGAAATCCTGCAGATCAGCAGGCAGATTTCTGCTCTCGGCTTGTTTTTGATCATTAATACCCGAAAACTCATGTTTCAATCTTCGTGTTTAAATTTGACAATAATAAACTTTTTTTTCAGATATAAACAGCAGGTTGTAAAAACTATTGATTACCAAGCACTGTATCTGGATACAATACAAATTTAGCATGTTGTGGATACTTAACTCATGTTTGTGTTTATTTTTAAAATATTTTTATCTTGAAATTTCTAGATTATTTGCACAACCTAAAAACATATAGTCAAACTGTCTTATATTTGGGTTATTAATTTTACATTTATTTGCACACCTAATTAATATAATCTTTTATTATTGAGAAAGCACCCCAGATTAGAAAAAAAGTTAGTTTTTCCTGTTAATAAATAATTTTATGCCTTCAGTTATTTTGGCATTTTTTGTTTCCATGGTACCAAGTATTGAAAATTTTCCTGCGTATCAATATTTAGATTTAGGCTTAGGATTAAACTATCTTTTACATTATTTGTATGTTTGCTCTTATTGTTTTTCCTTCCAAATTTCTATTTCAAATTAGTTTTCATTTTCATTTATTTTATTAACTTTCTTTTCATCTTTTATTTGCTTCTTTTATAATCATCTTTTTGCATGTATTTTTCTGTAAAAATGAATTTTTTATTTTAAAAATGAAAGAAAAAAAGAAGGCTGTAAGATGAAAAATTAAGAAAATACTGTTGGCATCCTTTCATCCACTTTGGATGAGTGGGAAAAATATTAACAGAACATTAAATATTTATTTTTGCTCTGTGTTTCAGTCATTGGAGGCCTTTTCTTGCCGTTGTTTTTTTTTTTTTTTTTTTTTGCAGCCTTTAAAGTCCAGTTAAACCAGTTGATGTAATAACTCTACCTTTTGTGTTTTTCAGACCCCCCAGAGATTTGGACTCAAAGGCTCACGTAACAATCGGAGAAAAGGTAATTCTGTTTTTTCTTTTGTTCCACCTTTCCTGACCCCATTCAGCTTTTCTGTTTGCTGTAGCATCTCACTGTGGACTTTTATTCCTTCTCCTGCTCTATTTACCGTTTATCCACTCTAGCTGGCTCAGAACAGCCTCTGTTGGCTGTAAAGAACGCTCCGGTGGGCATTACTGCTGTCTCTACCATTTCAGATTGTGGGAAAACTGGAATGCTCTTTAATGCCCATCATGCTATAAAAATGTTTATTTTAAACTCCTCAAATAATAGGAATTTTCCATTGGCAGAAGGGCTAGATTTTTTTTTTCTTTTCAAAGAGGAAAAAGAAAAACAGAAGAAAAAAAAGGTTATTTTGCGTCTTGTATGTGAATAAAACCCTAAAGTCAACTGGCAGCTCTGCTGACATGAAGCAGATATTGGTTGTGAAGGGTTCTTCCCCCTCTGACGTTGTCCTCTCGCTGTGTTTGGAGCAGAAATGTGAGGTGAAAGCTGATGATCTGGAGCAGATATGCGAGCTCGGTCGAGGAGCGTACGGTGTGGTGGACAAAATGAGGCACGTGCCCAGTGGTCTGATCATGGCTGTTAAGGTAAGGGAATCAAAGTCACCCAGAAGATCCGATAAAGACTGACTCTGCTTATTGACTTTAGTCACACACCAACTCTAAGCATCACAGGTTACCTTTTAAAGTCATTGATTCTGTTTAAATGTTGAAGGAATGTTTTATTTCACTTGAGGCTGTGCAGAGCAGCTATGTGCAGCCAGTATCTTTGCTCCAGAAGACTGTTGTCTGTATTTAAGTTTGAAGAATGGGGGATGAATTGTCATGAGAGGCATCCTGATTAGACCAGGGTCCAGACAATTAGCTACGCTATGCTTTTGCAGAAGTGTTCCCACTTCTGCAAAAGCAAGCAAAGACAGAGATGCGTGATTATATAATGCCAGGTTGGAAAGAAACTAGCAATGACCTTCGAAGCAACTGTGCACAAATTAGAAAGGCTATAAGGTCAAACCATTTGGAACACATCATTCTATGATAAGAATTATTTGCAAATTCAACCCAAGAACAGATTGAGCAGCGCTTGGAGACATGAAAGAGAAACTGCCAAGGCTTCATCTATCTTGTTAAGTATCAGCAGTTATTAAATTGTCTTCTCTTTATAAAAATATGGCTGCACATTTTATATTCATAAAGTTGCAAACAAATGTGCACCAGCAGATGTCTCCAAATTGAAATGTGCTGTAAAGGGCGAGCAAAGCTAATGCTAAAGATGGTCCCTAAAGCTTTGTTGTTGCCGAAGATTTGCCTTAATTAGATTTTGGTTTAATTTATTTGGTAAATAAAACATAAACAGCAATGTTAGCATTGATACAGACAGCCGTTCTGATAACTTGTTGTATTGGCTGCCATTCCAGCGGATTCGGGCCACCGTCAACACTCAGGAGCAGAAGAGGCTGCTGATGGACTTGGACATCTCCATGAGGACAGTGGACTGTTTCTACACAGTCACCTTCTATGGAGCGCTGTTCAGAGAGGTATGACCACAGTGAAGAATTTATAAGAAGACACTAAGGAAAAAATATCAGCTCAGCTCTTTATAAAGCTTAAAGAATATTTTTAGCTTGTTTTTTTTTTATTTTATTTTGAAATTGAGCCATTTTAAAGCAACTGATTGCTAGCTGTATGATGGATCTTTAGTTTTATTTTTGTTTTTTGTGGGAAGATAAAAAGAATCAAAGAATATTCCGAAACGAAATTTGATGATTTCTGCAATATTCAGATTTCAGTAAAATAACATTATAAACATTAATGTGCAACACTATCCAATTTGTTTTTGTTAAAAAAACAATTGATTTTACTGAGAAAGTATTCAAAATACTTAATAATAAATGAATAATTTTGTTATTTTTAGTCAATATTTCACAGCTCAACAAAAAAGACAAAAGTATTAAAAACTTCAGTAGATTGAAAGTTACTGGATTTAAATCAATATGTCAAAGCTTCACCACAAGTTAATAAAATGCTGTGATTTTTTTTCCCCTGCTATATTTAAAGATGGTTAATAATAATAATGTAGGATATTTATATGATTAAACCAAAACCTGTACCTTTAAAGCTAGGATTATCATATTAGGTGTGCAGCACAAACAATTAAAGTCCCGAAGAGATACACGAGACGTGAGAATTGAGAGAAGAAGTTATTTTTTTAACAATAAAACATTCTTCTTAAATTCCATATCGAAAATAATCTCAATGCATTTAACCTGTTTACAGCCTTTTTCGGTTGGCTTATCACATTATAATGCTTGAATTTACAAATACATTCCAGAAAATTGTCATCTTTTTGTATTTAACTGCTTTTACGTTGATGCCTTCTAATAAATTCCAGTCAGACCAGTTAACTACAGTAGTCACCTAATGAGAAAGAACAATCTTACCTCTTGTGTTTTGATCCATGGCATCAGTAAGATTATTTCCCTGGGATTTTTAGAACAAAAATAAAAAATAATGTGACAGCAATAGAAAAAAGGAAACCTCAATAGAAAATTATCTTCTTATATTAGAAGAACATATGTGAGCTGTTTCTGCATCCATTGCTGAACGAAAGACTAAATCTGCACCTTTTTTCCTCACATTCTGCCCATTCAATCCTCTTTTAGGGATTTTTAATAAAACTTCCTGAAACAGTGAATGAGGATCTCCCGGTATTGCCTCAGATTTTAAAACCTCTTGATTGTAGTAAGGCTGCTAACCTCCCCCTTCCTCCTATCTGTTGCCAGGGCGACGTCTGGATCTGCATGGAGCTGATGGACACCTCCCTGGATAAGTTCTACAAGCAGGTGATCGAGAAAGGTTTGACCATTCCTGAAGACATCCTGGGAAAAATCGCCGTCTCTGTGGGTTCATTTCAGCAGCAGCACATGAAAACATGCTCCAGATATTTGTTACGCAACACTTGTTTGCTTATAAGCTGTCTCTGTTATTACAGATAGTAAAGGCTCTGGAGCATCTGCACAGCAATCTGCAAGTCATCCACAGAGGTAAGAGGCTGAGTGGAAATCCATTTAACTCTCTGAGATCCTGTCAATATCCAGACAGCCGCTTCCTTCCTTTAGACTATTTCCGGATCCTATTAAAGGATCATAACGGCATCATTATGATTGAGAAAAATTCTGAAATGAGCATCTGGGTCTGCTGAGGAGCACTCTGCAGTTGAATGTCTTTGGTTTCCTGCCGTTGTTCTAATAAACTCTGCTCCTCAGTCAGTTGCTTTCCTTTATGCATCAACACATTTCAAATCTCAAATGGCCAGAATGACTGAGTCAGCATGACCGGACAGGGTTCCTATGCAGTCTGGAAAAGTATGGAAATATATCTGATTTTCCAGACCTAACCTACTATCCATTAGTAACATCGGGATCGCTTCTTCCTTGTTTCATTTATTAAATTAATTTAGTTAAATGTGCCATTCTATCCTACTCTTTTTCTTTCTTTCTTTCCTTGCTATGTGCTTTATAATTAGCCAGGTATTAAGTCCCAGTGTTCACAGGGATGGACGTATTCTGCATCTTTGGCAGGCGTAGAGCTAACATAACTGGCAGTGTTGCGAAGCAAGGGCTCAAACATGTACGGCTGTAAGCCTTCTACACCAAACCAAGCTTCTAGTAATCCACGACCTCCGACACAAAACTCTCCTCCTCTTGCATGTTTCTGCTAGCGTTCCTTGACAGTGTCGTTTCTAAGTCACCAATTTAGTGCTACTTGGTCCCAATGTATTTTCCCATTGGGAACCTACTAGCACTAAGTTACTAACCGGTTGGCAACGATGCTTCAGAGAAACCGGCTACAGTCAAACTTGTTTGCAAACCTTCCACCACAACCACCCCGTCCTCTTGATAAACGACCAATCACATTCACTTTATTCACTCGTGTAAAGTCGTTCACCACTTGGGAGAATTCGGGAATACAACCCTTGGAACAGCCGCTTCCCTACGACTTTTAAATTTCTACCCCATGACCTTTTAAACTTGTAAGGAGAGACTATAGTTCAGCTAAATGGGTAAGGATTAAAAGGCCAAGCAGCACCTTTCTTACTACTAGGGGGAACTTTGCTCAGCTGTAAAAAATCTATCAAAGACCCTCAGAAATAATTGAAGGTCTGACTGAGATTTGCTGAAAGATTCCTGAAAAGTCTGTCTGTTTGCAGGGAAGAAAGTAGTTGGGCATGGTTTCATTTAATTTAAAGTTTATTTGATGGGGACACACACACTTCAACATAAACAAACTGAAAAAAACAGCAGTCTCATGTTTGCGTCATGGTGCAATAGCA